CTACTGTGAAGAACACAGACTTAAACAAAGGGGAGAATTCAGATCAATTCTCCTCTCTTTTGTAATCGGAATTCAAATTGTAATCAGATCAATTCTCCTCTCTTTTGTAATCGGAATTCAAATTGTAATTAAGATCGAGAGAATACAAATCAAAATTTTTTTATTTTATCTCTTTTGTAATCGGAATTCAAATTGTAATTAAGATCGAGAGAATACAAATCAAAATTTTTTTATTTTATTTACTACAAATTTTCCACCAAACAATAATGTAAGACACATATCGACTTCTTTGATTAATATTTGGTATATTTAGGGTTTATAACAATTACCATGGTATCAGAAACATCCTCTTGACCTTAAAAAGATCTCTTTCTTCTTCCTCTACATCTAGCCATCAAGGGGGTTTTGCCGAAAACTTCGCTCTTCCCCTCGGCAGCCTCAATACTAGATTCAACCTTGATGCACCACCCCATCGCTCACAACCTTCGCTCATAGTAAAATCCTAGCCCTAACCTCGTCGCTTGGCATAATAACACTGTTCATCCATGGGCTATTGTTCATCTGTGAAAACCTTCGCTCACAGCAAACCCTAGTCCTAACATCTCCATAATGACATTGTTCATTCATGGGGTTACTGTTCATCCATTTCATTGCATGCATACAAGGCGTCCGATGAATTGCCTTAGCGAGATTTCTCCCTCCTTAGCCAGCCTCGAGCCAAGCTCTCCCCAACAAAGTGCTTTCTACTCACCAATGCTTGCAAGATCCAGTCACCGTGCCTCCTCTCGTGACCGCAAGTCCGCCCTCTCGCGACCACCGTGCATGACCGCCGATCACTGCTGCAACACTATACCTCGCTACTTACAAGATCCAGTCACCATGCCTTCTCCCATGACTGTAGGTCCGCCCTCTCACGACCATCGTGTGTGATCGTCAATCACTGCTTCAATATCATGATCCCACATCCTGCAATCTAGCCACTGATGTGCTCCAATTCAACCACCTCTTGCCAAGTCATGCCAATAACCATCTATGCGAATTTAGCTTGTCTTATCCAAACTCTCAATTCTCTACCAACTGTGAGTTTGGCTGGATGTGTTAAATATAGTTATTAGACATACTATACCTCATTCTTTTAGCCCCACGTCGTTTTTTAGGATACAAAAACCTCTTCTCTTGCTCTTGTATTTAAACACTTTAGTGCAATGAATAAAATTGTCTCTTTTCTCTCAAAAGTTCTATTCTTATCATGGTTGACACTTCTTTGATGCGCACGTAATGTTATGAATCAGGTCTACCGGATCCTTTCTGATTCAACGGATCGTGACTATTTAATGCATTCTTCGAGTTATAGAGATGAGAGTAAAGTAAGAGGAAATACTTTTGCTATAAAACCAACTTATATATCTACTAAAAAACTAATAGTTTCTCTGACATAGCACCATTAATCAATTTATATAAATTGTTTGAACATAACTAAAGCGAGAATACTTATTGTGGAAAATCACCATGAAGATTCAATAGACTAGAAATAATAACTCTAGGGACTTAATGAGTTAAAAACTTCAGGTGAAGGGCTTCTTAGAAATGCCAGTTAAACTTTAGAGGCAGACCTGACTTTAATTTCCTTCAATATATAGGTGATATTTCTTTCTTTTTCCTTTTCTTTTTCTCAACCCTTCGCTCTTCCAAGGTTCCTAGTTGGATAAGCTAAATCTAAACGTAGAGAATAATATAATGGAATGTATTCCGTAGGATGACTTCAGAGAATGGGAAAGAATTAGCTCCTTTCAGAGACGTGGGCTCTTTGGCTTTTTTGCTTGAAACAGAGGGCTATATGATGTAAAAGTTTGATTAATATTGTAAAGTTGAAAACCATATGGTTGGCAAAAATGACCGGTAATGTACAGCTTTCGTTGGTTTGATTAGATGCCTCAATTATTATGAAGGCCTTGTACCTTTTCTTTAAGTTCTCGCTTTTTCGAGTGCTATGCGTGTGTCATTCACAAGGAAAATAATGACTTGTCCCCAATGGGACAAGAAAAGTGTGAAATTAGTGATTCTTGTTCCAAACGAAAGAGCCCCCTATATAACTAGCATTGTCGCACGTGCATATGCACGTGTAAGAGGAGCAAATCTTTTTAAAATAAATTTGTACGTCCGAAAAATATGCATCGTAGATTCGACTGAAAACGTGATATCTTAAGCCTAAGGAAAAGATAAGGAAACTGTTGTTCGTAAATGTTTTATTTCTTTTGTGCAGAATAAAATGCACGTGCTTAATGCACAAAACTTATAATTTCCTATCTATATACATACTACTTTGATATTCTTTAGCCTTTCTCTTGGCTATACATATTATTTATTTTCCCCTCCTAAAAAGACCTTATAGTTTTAATTTATATTCCTTTAGAAATCTAAAATATAATAGATATGTAATTATAGAGGTCCTTATCCGATGTTCATGGAGTGTGGTATAGAAGGTTAGGGCCTGTTTGGTTATTTCCTAAAAAAACAAAAAATAGAAATGAAAACCAAGAAATCTCAAAAAGTACAATTTCACACATTTCCATCCCTAAAACTCACCCACAACATCTAATAAAATATTATTTTTATCCAACAACTCATCCACCACATCTAATAAAATATTATTTTCATCCAACAACTCATCCATCACATCCACCACATCTAATAAAATATTATTTTCATCCACAACATCACTCAACTCAACTCATCTCATATTTAAAAATCACTCACATCATCCAATAAGATTGTGACAACTCATCTCATCTCATTAACATTTTATTTCTTTGTTTTCCTCCCAAAAAGTTAGGAAAACAATTTCCTTAAGTGTGGGTCACATCATCTAATAATATAATGACAACTCATCTCATCTCATCTATTTTTTATTTTTAAGAAATAACCAAACAAAAGAAAACAACCTAATACAAGAAATATGTTTCTTATAATTCATTTTCTTATTTTTTTGCGCCAACCAAACAACATCAAAACAAGTTTTCTTAAAAAATCACTCACATCATCCTATAATAAGGTGACAACTCATCTCATCTCATCTCCATTTTTTTGATTTTCTTCTTTTTTTAGCCAACCAAACAATCCCAAAACCTATTTTTCTTAGAAATAGGTTTTATTTTCTTTGATTTCCCCCTTTTTATGCAAACAAACAGCCCCTTATAATAGGAAACCAAAAAAGACGAAGAAGGAAAATAAAGATAAAATGTTGGTATGATGTATGGAACGTTCAAGAAAATAAGAAAGAGAAAGAAAAGAAAAATATCTCTTGTTAAGTTACTTTTTTGTCCTTTCAACTATAGTACATAGTGAGAATATGTCGGCCCCTCATCCATTTTTTTATTACCCCTACAATATTCTCCATGAAGAAATTTTCTAAATAAACTCATTCATATTTTTTTCTAAAAGTAGACCCCTTTGAGTTTTATTTACAAAAATAGACTCATTTTATCTTAATTCGGTTCCTAAATAATCGGGGTTGCCAACCCCGACTATTTAGGAGGTTGTAAACCCCCAATTATAACCCTAAACCCTATCATTCTATGCATTAAATAGTCGGGGTTGGCAACCCCGACTATTTAGAATCCGGATTAAGATAAAATGAGTCTATTTTTGTAAATAAAACTCAAGAGGGTCTATTTTTAGAAAAAAAAATTATGAATGAGTTTGTTTAGAAAATTTCTTCTATTCTCCATATAACAGTATAGATATATGTATTGTTAGTGTATAAATTATAATGCTCAACTCTCTCAGCTAGTTTAAAGTTCTGGCGTCTTGAAAGAAGGCATATAATATGATATTTACAATTCTGATCCGCTGTAATTGTGCACTTAAGGCATTGAAAAAAGCTTAGTTACAGTGCATAAAAGATAAGTTAAATCCTGAGTTCGGTGCAAGAGAAGTAACTTTATGACGCGTCAATAATGATCACTGGTTATGTCTTTTTAAAGCTAAATATCAGAAAACCCCCCTAATCACTATTGACGACTGACGGAAAACCCCACTTAACTTTCTAAAAATCAGAAAACCCCTCTTTATGACGTCAAATATGGTGTCGCGCTGTTCATCACCGCTAAAATAGCGTCCAAAATGGCGCTGGGTTGGAGACTAATCGCAGCGGCAAAATCCAGTTTTGCCTCAAAATGGCGCTCGGTTGGAGATGGTCTTAGGGGGGTTTTGTGATAAAATTCGAACGTTAAAGGGAGTTTCCTGATAAAACCTAAAGTAAGGGGTTGCCTGATATCTACTTCTTTCTAAAGATAACAAGACCAATCACAAAGGAAACCAGTAGCAGCTCGTTGATTGAGCAAGAGTCAGCAAAATATGTTCAGTTCTCGTGCTAAACAACTTGCTACGTACCTTGTTTGGCTCTAAAATGACGTCAAGAGATGTATATAATAATATTAAACTTGGGAGAAAAGTTTCTTTGCTCGAACCCCTATTTTTATCACTGGAGCGTGGGGGCTCCTTATCTTTCAGAGGGGTGTGAAATGAATTTCTTTAATAAAAGCAAAACGAAAGCTTTTATATTATAAAACGGTGCTCAATCTTAAACGGAGGAATCCCGTCATGTGACCGCATACCTATAATGGCACTGTGGCATAATGACAAGGCGTTGAGAATTTGGCAACGGTGGCTACCATAAGAGCTCAGTGTGAATGAGTAAAGCTTCAACCAGAAAAGAGAGCAAAATGATTGAGCCATAGAAAGACAAAACTCATTTATTAATAACTTGAGGAAGATACAGGGCAGATAATGGGAAGAGATGGATTGATCCAGAATTTATCAAGAGCGTATGAAAAGTTTTTTCTTTCTTTCTTTCAAGGTGCAGACTTTTAACTTTTTGCATTCCCTACAATTCAGCTTTCAATATTGAGAAAATCAGTACCAATAATGATACAACTTTTTAAAAATTATTTATCGATCATAAAGAAATGTATGCGTATTCATGATGCCTAAATTCTGGATAAATAACACTAGATAATCATGATAAAAGCCTTAGTTTACAGCTCATGAATACAGAATAACAGAATCTTAGAATAACAGAATCTTTCGTTGCAGTAAAGATCAAACAAATCTAATTGTTCTAATCCACACGTTACAAAGACACAGCAAGTGGGAATATTTTCAGAAACAATATTCATGCTCACCCTGCCAAGTTACAAAGACACAGCCGACAACGCTTTCCTAGCCTCAGATGCTAGGAAAACAAGTGGGGAGTTTTAACTAATTCATCTGTTTAACTAATTCGTCAGTAACTTGAGGGGAATACTCTGCAACTTTTTCTTGAGATGCAAAAGGAGGAGTAACCAACCTAGCTTCACCCCCTGATTTCCTTTTAGTCACTAGTCATCATAATATATACAAAACTGCAAGGGCAGAGTTCAATGCCGCCAGTTGAAGAGGCTAAGCCGGCTGCCATTTTCGACTACAGTTTCATCCGACGAGTTTGAAGAGCTCTCTGTACTGTCATCAGAGTTGCGGTCTGGCTCAACCTGCACCCGATGAGCATTATCAGCAATCCATTTGGTGAATTCTGGAGTTGAGGCCCATTCAGCGAGCGCTTCTCTGGTGGATTCACGGGTGAATTCATCCCATTGTGCCTTTGAGAACCTGCGTTTGGGCGTCTTGTGGAAAGTTGAGTAGTAGTCTTCTTGTTGAATTGTTGATCCTTGTGTAGGGGATGCGTAGGTGGGAACTATAGCTGCAAGAACGAAAGAAACACCATTAAATTAAAATATCTGCATGTATTTACCTATGTATATGGACTCGAAAAACATAGTTCTTAGTCAGTTTTCCTCAAAATTAGGTGCTGACATATTCGAACCACAAACTCGCTAACAATCCCGGTTTTCAAACTTTTACTCATCCTCCTCCCCTTCAAAAATTTTCACGTGCATTTGGGAACCAGGGATTTCTCATTCCTAATTCTGAATGACTAATGTAAAAATAAGATGCACACACACTAATTACAACAATCATCTCCCAACAAAACACACACAAACGAGAAAAAGAGAAAGGAGGGGCAGAAGCCTCGTTAGGTTATGGGCCTCATGGCTAAATGGAAATGAAATTGCACCCAACTTTTTAGAAAATGCGCAAGGTGGGACCAAGAGTGCAACATAACTACCATCATTACAAGTTTAATCCAATGAAAGTCATAATTCAAACATTTTTTGAGCTTTGAGAGAATTGAGAAATTTGTCATACCATGCATTGAACAGAATCACATTACAGACATAGGTGTAATGTCTGCATGCTGGAACCTGTAGAACTGTTTGAAACAAATAATCGATGACACTGAAGCTCCCTACCAAATCAATTCTTCACTCAATTCTACGCAAATATGAGTAGAAGACAGGTCAAGAAGGGAGGGGTTACAACATAAATACCTGACAATTCCATTATTGAAT